AGAAATACCGTAATTGTTCCGTAATACTTTCCCTCCTTTAGTCTTTTGGCAAAAAACCCCCCAAAAAACTGTCACACATAAATAGATATATGGAGCTTAACTGAGAAAAAGGAAAGAAAGAATAATAATGTCGTTATTTTATTATAGCAACAGATTAGATAGAAACGTAAAGGCAAATATTTGCGAGGAGGATAAAGGATATAAACATAGGAGAAGAAAGAAAGAAAGAAAACGAGAATGAATAAAAGAAAAGTTACGGATAAATTAAAGTAAAGAAAAAACTGACAGGGGTAAAAAAAAAAAAAAAAAAAGACAAAAATCGACAAAAAATCGAATCAACAAAAGAGAAATACGTGATGATTCATTCTAAATATAATGTGGTTGCAAATGTTTTTAACGTGGATTCCATCTTTATTTTGAGGGCGCGGGAAAGATTTTACACATCACAAACAAAAGAAAAACGAGAAATTACACAGAAAAAGCAATTGAAGAGCAAAGATGGTAGAAAGGATAATAAAATAGAAAAACGAAAAAAATGTAAGGAAATATTAAATAAAAGAGGAGACATTACTGAAACGATTTCTCTAAGATTCAACATGAGATCATTAAAACCTTCGATAAAATTCATCAATTTTGGTAGGAGTGTCCATCAGGAGAATTTTCCATCGTATACAACTGCGAAATAATTAAGTTAATAAAGTTAATTATTAATTATTAATAATTATTCAACATGTTTTTACGGATCTGAAATTGTTAAGTGTAGTTATTTGCTTTCGTTTTAACTTTAGCCGATCATAGTTTTGTTCAGAACGCACACACAATACAACTAATATAGCTCTATGTGAATAAAGCAATAAGTCTATCGTTCCCAAATCTAATTGTTTTACTTTTCCCTATTCTCTTCTTTTATTGCTTTATGTAACAAAGGTAAAAGGAATCAGCGTTTGGCATTTATCATTATTATTCGTTCAATCTCACATCTCCCAAATTTTGCGTTTTTCTTATCAGACGACCATATCTGTTCTTTCCCGAACCATTATCAAATTATAATTGTGATGCAGTTTTAGTCAATTATTTAGTAAATAAGTTAGCACGTTTTGCAAATACCTCGTAAATAGTGGACTATACTGTTTTGATCGCGAAAAAACACAAAAAAAACCATACCAGAAAGAAAAAAAAAGAGAAAAAAAAGAGATAAATAAGATAGAGGAGGCGATAATACGTCGATGCATTTAACGTCTGTTTCTTTGAAATGAAAAACAAATATTAATTTTGAAGCGATTCATTTATACCCTGAACGTCTTTAAACCTATATTAATGCTTATGACGGTTATTGTAATATTTTTTAACATTTGTTAAGCTCAAATATTTCACAATTTCCACGGTTATTTAATAGTCGTGAAACTCGTAAAGAGGTTATCCATTAATTAACTTAAGGCTTACGATTTATCCCAAAATAAAATAGCAAAACCATGAAGTGTTCAAGTGGATTACTTGTTTATATAATTTCCAGTGGGATGAATGTCCCAATCTTTCGTCTTAATATAAGAACTTTTCAGAATCTACCAAACTGGTTAAAATTCAGTGAATTTAGAAGTAAAATGTATTAGCTCTACAGGGCTAGATTCTTGTATTTTCGATGCGCATACCTATGGATATCATATCTAAGTTCATTGTCATCTTAGTAGTGGTGACTTTTCGTCAGCCTAGATTTAACTAACAATAACACAAAAATACACACATGCAAACATGTTTATCTTTCTAGATATAAATATGTGAAGAAAAGTGGACATTTATTATTAATATGAACTCTATATTTATTTTAATGTAAAAATATATTTAAATGTATGTATGTTATTAATATACGTATATATCTCCAAATAGACACAAACACAGACAATATGCCACCTGCAATATTCAGAATTTTTAATTTTTCATCGCCATCTTTTGTCTACCTGATTAATGTTTTTATTGTCATTTCTCTTCAGCAAAGTATTTCATTCCTATATATATATATATATATATATATATATATATATATATATATATATATATATATATATATATATATATATATCTGCAATCTATGTAGGGAATACATGCATTTTGTATGCTATTGTGTGTGTGGTCCGAATACTACGTTTTGCCACTGTGTGTATATCATGTGTTTTTTTATGTGTGTGGGTTATGATCTGTTTAGTGCTGGTTTAAATATGCCTATGAAACTTTTTCTTTGTATTTGTGTGTGTGTGTGTGTGTATGTATGTATATATATATATTTATTCATATATATATATATATATATATATATATATATATATTTATATATATATATATACACACACATATTTTCATGTGTGTGTTTTCGTGATTGCCTTTGTGTATACACACATATTTTCATGTGTGTGTTTTCGTGATTGCCTTTGTGTATACACACACATATTTTCATGTCTGTGCTTTCGTGATTGCCTTTGTGTGTGTGCGTAAAATATTAATGAATATCAAAAGGATTAATTTTTGTTGCAGCTTTTCATTCGGCCTTACATAAATCCATAAAAATGAACATCAATATCTTTTTACGCAGTTGACAGATATTCATTAAATTTTATTTACAAAACAGAAGATAAATTTTTAAATGAAAAAGATCGTTTAAAATCCCAATCATATATCTATGCTATTTTCAACCTCTACTTTCGCATCTAATTGGCAAATATGTCATTAATTCCCCAAAGAGCTAAAATGTGATAATTCAATAGGGTAGCCATCTTGGATATTTCAAACGAGTAAAACTCATAAAATTCGAACCAGAATTTGAACAATAATTAGCCAATCAATCACTCTATTGAATTCAGCCAATCCACGTCTATCTATGTTCGTATCTATAACAACTTTGATAAAATAGTGAACGCAGATATCAATCAATCCATCTGTTTCTGCTCGCATCCTGCTTTCTACGTTAATCCGCTTTTATCTATCAGTCGTTCTATAAGGCTATCTGATTTTTTTCTGTCTTTTATATATGTGTGCATCTTTGTGTATATGTGTGCGTGTTTATGTAAGTCCGTGTGTATGTGTTTAAATATGTCTGCGCAATAAATTGATAACATGGAATCTAGAGATAAATGGTGGCGTTTGAAAAAAAAAATAATCTACAGGAAAATTGAGGGAAAAATCTATGATTCATATTCGAATAAAGAGTCTGCCCTCGAGTATTTAAGCCAGAATAGATAAACTTCTCGTATGGGTTTTGCTAGCGCAATAGACGGTAAAACACACAGCAAAATTTATACAAATTTTTTTATCGACATTTTCCTTTAAAAAGACACCTGAAAAACCTAAAAATAATAATAATAAAAGAAGAATAAAACTTCATTCTCTTTCCTTTCCAAGTCTTCCAAATG